TTGATCATCATCAATGCTTAAATGTTATAGAAAAGGCAGAGGAAAAGATGCTAGACAAAATTTATTGTTTGGACTTTTAGGCGGAAAAGTATCATATCACGTTTGCCTTTTTTTTTTTTTTTTGTCTTTGCGCCCGATTACGTCTAAATTGTATAAAACTTGTATAGATGTTACACAGATGTATCAAGACTGAATGAGGGAGAATGAATATGAACAATCATGTAAGGATGACATTTTTCTGTTCTTTTGAAGACCAAACTATCAAATCGGAACGGTGATTTATGTGGAAATCATAAGAAAATAAAAGGCAATTGACGGTTACATGAAATATCTATTTGCTTTTACTTTTTACTGTTAATATTTTCAATAAAATTCATGCAAACATTTATCCTTTAGCGAGTGTATTAAATTTTTGATTAGGGAATCAAAGTAGGATATTTCTGTTTCTTTGTCTACCTACCAATTTATGCCTTTCAATCTAAATATCAATACATATGTAGAAAAGTTTATTCTTTTTTTAACTGTTTTTTTAACAAAAGGGCTTATGCTATTATACCTGAAGGAGTTAACATAAAATATCATCCCAATTACATTGCGATGGTCACGAATTTATTTAGCTAAATGTACTGCACACACACACACACACACACACACTTATATGTCGATAGATAGACAGATAGATAGACAGATATTAGTATATATACATACATATACATATACATAAACATATATTATATATATATATATATATATATATATATATATATATATATATATATATATATATATATATATATACGTGTGTATGTGTGTGTATGTGTGTATGTGTGTGTTCGTGCGTGTTTATTTCACTAGATAGAACTGAATTTATTGTGTCATGAATTTTTGTGAAAAAAAATTGTCCTTAAGTGGAATGACCTCATATGACCTCATTTTTTACCCGAGCCTTTGCGAAATGCTCCTGATATATCGGCGATTCACAGAATGCGCTCAGTTATCATTATGTATGACTTCCTTCCTCCGGTAAATGGGATCTCAGTCTTTGGAAGAGAAATTGGTTAGATTACCTTCAAAAATAAGACGATAATCAACACAGAAAAAATGTGAATACAGAAAATCCCAAAATAGCTAAACTAAACAATGCCAAGTGTTTATAAAAGTGAGAATGAATGCAACCATAATAAGAAAAAAATATCAAAAGATGTTCTCCGTGTCAGACTAGATTCTTTATCAGCCGAATCCAATCCCTTTCGGTTTTATCGCCTGATGAGGATTCTTCTTTGACTCAAGATATTGCAATCAAATATAATTTTCTTGTTAGAGCTGCATTGGACATCGAGATGCGATGTGTTCGTAACTCGTACATGAGAAAAGAAAAAAATTGACACATAACACAAGCGAACAAAAGAAAACGAGTAGCAATGTCCGCATAAAAAAACACGACCCAAAGTGACGGCGGACAGTCAGCTGCGGGAATCCGGAGACGCCTCGCCGCCCGGAATATTGTCCCAGCTTGACCAAGATTGAAACCCGCATTCAAATCGTGCAGTCAGCGAAACAGAGCCAAGCTGGATAAGCGAATGGGTAATCGTTATTTAGCCTTAGTTTGGGAAAGGGAAAGGGCAAACACGCTGTCGTTAGCTTTCATTTGACGATTAACATTTCACAGAAGAATTAATATTTCAAATGATTTTCTTCACATATCTTATCGTGTCTGGCTATCAAAAATCCGGCTCTAACTGTTTACTTTTACTTCCCAAATTTTGGTTACTATAAATATTTTCCTCTGTTAATCCATATACATATGCTTTCCATGCAAAATTACAGCTGTCAGAATCTAGAATTATAATGTACTGAAAATTTAAAGGTTTATCATATTAATTCAGTTTAAAACACGTGACGCTAAACATAAAAAATAAACATACAAATCCTGAGTGGTTTTAATTCCCTGGATAAAAGTCGAGTTCGGAGATTCATTTCTAAACTTATTGTAGGATTTAATGGAAAAGCTTCAGGAGAAAAGGCTGAAGTACCTCTCTTCTCTGCACGAAGCCTGCACTGATAGTTTCAAGTATATCAAGGGGGGATTTATCAGAAGCCCTTCGGGAACTGAACTAAACTATTTAGAGAAATTCGACATTTATGAATAATGATTTGTGTTGGAAGCATTTGCTTGTCCAGAGTTATTGAAAATGTATAATAGTATAGTATATATATATATATATATATATATATATATATATATATATATATATATATATATATATATTATATACTATATATATATATATATATATATATATATATATATATATATATATATATATATATATATATATATATATATATATATATATATATATATATATATATATATATATATATATATATATATCATATATATATATATATATATATATATATATATATATATATATATATATATAGATATATAGAGAGAGAGAGAGAGAGAGAGAGAGAGAGAGAGAGAGAGAGAGAG